TGCAAATTTCCAATGATGAATGTCATTATATTGTATACCTAAAATGTATCAATAAAATTAATTTTTAAAATAAATAGAAACACAAAGGAAAACCAGGAAACAATCTAGTGAGGGTCATGTTCTACAGAGGACTATATGAAGAGCTGGAAGAATGAGTCTACCAGTTCTATTTGAGTCTGAAAGTTGAAAATAAAATTTGTTGAAATTACACAAAATATACCCAATCAAGCAAACATCCTTGCTATCCTTGCATTCTTTCAACCTGCTCATGACACAAACTATATTTGTGGAAATTTATGTAACACAAAGCCAAGCTCATAATAAAACACTATTTCATGTAATTTATTGAATATAGTACACTGGGTGTTCACCCATTGTTTCCTGTTTCTGACAGAGCAGTGACTCATTACTGCTATCCTTCATCATGAGCAAGTCTTATAGCATGTACCTCTAGTGTGAAAAATGAGTAAAATCCAAAATTAAAAGTAAGATTTGCACTAAATAATTTCTTTTTCTCTTCATTACTATAGACTTTAATCAGGGCTTCATGTACATTAGAAAAATCAGAATAGAGTGGAGGTACACCATAAAATGTTTACTTCATACTGAAAAAGGGTCTTGCTCGGTTATCCAGGCTGGGCTTGGTGATTTAATACTCCTGTCTCAGTCTCCTATGTGGATGTCATTAGGTATGCACCACCACGCCTCAGTGATACTTTACCCAAGCACTGAAATCTTGGGAAATCCTGGTGATTTAAGAACCCCAAACTTAATCTAGCAAAGTGGCACATGTCCATCATCCCAACAGGCAAAGAGGTGGATAAAGTATCAAAAGTTTTCCATAGCCTGGGCAACTTAGTAAGACCTGATCTCAAATTTTTAAAAGCAATTAAAATAAAACTTTGAAGGGATGTAGCTCAAGGCAAATTTCATGAGTTCAATCCCTGTACAGTAAAAAACATCAATTTTGAAATCTTTTGTATACAGGAGAAACCCCTCCCCATTCTACTTCAAAGTTGATGCCCAACCTATTTTTAAACCTACAAAAAGATCAGCTTTCTAATTTCCAATTTTGCCTCAAAAATGATTAGGTGAATGGGTAAGTAGTCTGAGGAAAAGTACTTGCCCATTCCTAAATTTCCTTCCTTTCTTTAAGCCTGTGACCAATGACTCATTCTCAAACTAAGCCAGGAGACAATCCTTCATTTATTATCACATTAAGAAAAATCTGATGTCAGAAGTTTACTGTTGTTGCTGATTTTTGCCGACTTCCAAAATCCTTGCTGTCCCATTTCCTTTTCACTCCCCTTTGGTCTTATCTATTCAAAACACCCTCGTATTCTATTCATTCATATGCCCACAGACCTTAACTTTAGGAACTTACCCCTACTTTAGTACTTGTATTATACAAAGTTCATCTCAATTAGTATTTCAATTTTTTAAAAAATGTCTAGAAACAGTCCACAGACTACAAAGCAATTATTTCAGAGATGACACCACTTTTCCTTTCAAATCATACCAGTAACACGTGTACCCATCCCTGTAGATGCCTCAGTTGAATGCATTTCTTAGTGTGGGTGGAACAGACAGCCTCTCCAGGAAGTGTCCTTAGCAGGAACACTTTGCCCTCCCTTGCTAATACACTAACATCCCCTCCATCTTTCTCAGCATAAACTCTACGGAAAGGGTCACATTAATAATCTAAATGTAAAGAATTTACTTAGCTTATACGTAAGGCACCTAGCTAATAGCCTGAGATAGAGGAGTTGGGAAATTAGCCACTTTGATAAGAATTAAAATGAGAATAGACAATTACTTGGAACTTTGGACCAAGAGTGGACTTTCTGCGCAACAATGAATGCAGCCCCCTCCCAAAAAAAGGATTTTCAGGGACTCTCTCCTAAGCTCATGAGTTTCCAGAAAGTCAAAATGTTAAATAACCAGTTTTTCTCCAAAACTTCAGTTTCCCTTTGACCCTGCATGCTGAGGAAACAGGTTAGAGCCTGAGTTCAAAGTGTCTGTTTTAAATTCACAGAGATATCTATGACATGTAGCCACTAAACAACTGAGCAATTACTGTGCTCTGCTGATCGGTAATTAGGTCTGTATTGAGTGGTCACAGGGCCACTTACTTCGGTTGCTTCTTGGAAATCAGGGAGCTCTTTTTATTATTATCTCCAATAAAATCTCTCCTAACATTCTCTTTTGGTTAACGACCTCATTTCTGAATGTTGTGACACCACGAACACTGTTCTGTGATAGCCAACCCAACTCGGTACCATTTTGTGCTGGACAAAGCACCCAAAACCCACATCCTGTTTGGCAGAAAACTTGCTGCAGCTACATGTTTTTTTCATAGCTCACCCAGTATGCGAAACTTCCTCTTGCCCCCCACTAACCTGGCATGGTTCTGCTTCTGTAAAATTCTGCTTGCTCTCCCCTTGAGCCCTCCCCAATAGAAAGCATAGTTTAAAAGAAAAAACCAAACCCCTTCTCCCCTCTGGAGAGTTCTTTCTGGGAACTAACCCTTCTCGGTCTCCAGCTTTAAATAAAAGGGCCAGGATTTAGTTCAGCGGCACCGCACCTGCCTCGCAAGAGCAAGGTCATGAGTTCAATCCCTGGTACTAAGTAAATAAATAAATGAACTCGAATCTGACTCAAAGTCTGGCACGTCTCTACAGTTTCACCTCTCTAGGTTACAACAGTTCATGCAGTAACGCCATTATGAGTAGAAGTGTCAAGTAAATAATTAAAGTGGTAATTGTTTTTCATTGCTGAGTATAGATCCCAACATTTGCCCCCAAAGCTCCTGCTCTTCTCAGATGGTCAGAGATACAGTTCTGCCTGCAGCTGCACAAACACATTCTGGGTTAAGCAGTGTCACAGAGGGGACAGTATGCTGGAGACCCAGAACTCTCCCTGCCTGAGCAAAGCGGAACAAGCACAGAAGATGATGCAGAACCAAACAATAGAACGACCTCAGATTCTGGAGTTCAGCAGAGGCTGTTTATTGCCATAGCTCATTCTGGCCACTTCCTTCCAGAACTCACCCGATTCCACCCCTATTCCCAGCGCCCATCCCACAACGTCACCATTGTGTGGCTTGAGGGTCTCCAAAGATCCTTCGATTGCAGGTTCCAGCCAATAGAAGTTATAGAAAGGGGTGGTCTAGTCAGGTGGGTGCTCTCAGCAATGCCCTCAGGCTGTGCACTTCGCTGCCGAGATACAGGAAGAGCCCGCCTCCCTCATCCCACCTGATTGGGTAGTTCAGACAGCCCGCGCCTTCATCGCTGATTGGCTCCTGCTCCATTGCGGGCCCCCTGAGCTAAGCCCGACAAGAGAAATAAAGCTCTTCCAGCAGAGGTGGAGCTGAAATGATAAAATTATAACTCAGGAACTTCTGGATCAGTCTGTCTCTCACGATGTCAGTCTCACCTCGTCTGAGGAATACTTGCCTTTAAGGACTTTACTCCTGTCTTTTCAAAGCTTCCGTGGTCTTCTTAATGGACTCAGTGGACTTTTTCTGAAAGTGGGTCATAAATGTGCTCAGAAGGTTCCAGGGTCAATATCTATAGAAGAATCAATCCTTAATGTGATAAAATATCATGACTCCAGGCCTGATCAGGACATAATGGAATAGAGGGAAGGCCTGTTGTTAGGAATGAGGCCGTGGGCTCAATTCCCAAGATTTTCACACTGTCTCTCAATCTACTTATTTTCATCCCTGAAAATTAATATATGGCCCCTAATAGGAATACAAATATTGGGTTAATAAAGAAATTAGAGTTGCATGATAGGATTCTACAAAATAGTAAAGATGAAAGAAAAGCAAGCATTTCAACTCCCTCAGACAAGCTTCACATTTTATGCTAGGTCGTAAAAAAATACTTGAGTTCTGAAGATAAACACAATTCCAAGTATGAAAGCTAGAATGATTGCTGAAACTGAGCCCCACATTTGATCCACCTGATCACATCCAGGTGATGAGGCTGGGATACTTTAAGTACTTTAGACTATGAGCTCCCCATGTCCTGTTGTGGCTGTCACAGGTTGAAATTATGCACATTTCAACATTAACATTTCTAGAAAAAAATTATCTGGAGTCAGGTGATACATTCGTGTTAATAACTTGTTTGGATTGAGAGCAGTACAGGATATTAGTATAGCACAGTTCTTAGTGTGTCCAGTTGAGTCATGATAGCATGACCTGAGGGACCAAATCTGGAGTCTGGCTCATTCCTTTCACCCTCTTTCTCTTCTCTCTGGATCCTGGTTCTCATAAAGCAGGTATCCTTTATTTCTATTTACCATGATATTTCTGTATTAGAATCAGTCAAATCCAGACTGCAATCTCTCAAATACTGAAACAAACCTTTTCTTCTTATACTTTCTATGTCAGGTATGTTTCCCTGTGACAAGAACAACAACAAAACACTTAATACAATATCTCTTAGGTATCTGTTCTCAGTAAACTTTCAAATACATCAATTCTTTCTTCACAAAACTATACAAATAAGCTTTGCTCTATGAATAGTCCAAACTGATTCCTTTAATGTGTACATATCTCAGTCTGACCCCAGCAACTCTTTGCATATCATAATGACTTTTTCCTTCCAAAATTTATAAAGGCAGAACTAACAATACATACAGCCATCTGGCCATGAACCCATGCTTAAAACAAACCCATGGCTATCGACACCTGGAATCCTGTTACACAGTATTTGGCAAGCTAATGAAGTCCTCCTTCTTAGCTACTATTTATACTTGTAGGTGGTAACTCAGAAGAATCCATGAAGAATATCCACAAAGATGTGAAGTTGTGTCAATGTTTTCTGGGAAAACACCCTAATAATCCTGACTAGTGAGACACAATGTAACATCACAACACTTTGATCTGAAGGAACCCCGAGATGCACATGGTGGCTCTTCTATCTGCAAAGTGATTCTCCATGTCTCCATTTTACCCAAATTATAAATACACATGATTCATTTAAATTCATTTAAATATTGCCACTTCCAGATGTCTCTCTCAATCCCAGCATGGTATGTCAACCTTACTAAACATTTGTGGACATCTGGCTTACCTTCTCAAATTTTAGTGCAATCTGTCATGCTCAATGTAAGAGAATTTCTCAATCTGAACCCTGAGATGCTGAGGGCACAGAAAAGCTTTGTTCATAGTCATTCCTGTCTCTCAGCATGTGTAATGTTTCCAAATCAAATGACCATGAATCTCACAGTGGTGGCAATATGAGAAAATTTTTTTAAAAGGATAAGATGCTGTGAGAACATAAAAGAAGTTAATGTAAATCTCACTAGTTTAGTAAGTGGGGTGGCATTTTACTTGGAGTAGTTTGAATGACACAAAGGAATTTTCTGGGCAATGTTGAAATAACACTGATGGCAGAGAAACTAGGTTGAAGAAATTGCATATGAGTATGCTGACTATCGAGAGAGGACATCATCAAATATTTTCTGAATGTAGACCATTATTATGGTTTGTGTTTAGATGTCCCCCCAGTGGCTCATGTCTTAAGTGGGGCTTTTTCAGAGTTGACTGAATCCAGAGTGTGTGACTGATTCATGGTGCAATGCTAGGACCATGGACACTCAGATTAAGGGTGTGAGTGCTACCTGTTCTAAGTAGTTTGAATAAAATAAAAGGGGCAGGAAGACACTGTCAAGGTTCTCTTGTTGATTTGCTGTCTTCTAGCACCATGAACTGGTGCCTCTCTCACTCTACCTTGGAGCCAGCTGATTATGGACTGAAACTTCTATGAACTGTAAACCAAATAAACTTTTCCCCCTTACACATTGGGTCTTGGATATTTTGTCTCAGCAATGAGAGAAAAGTAAATAGAACAGAATTTGGCATCAGAGAAGTGAGGTCATTGCTGTGACATTACCTGGCCATGTGGCTCAAGAGACTTTGGAACTAGCTAATGGGAAGGAGGAAGAGCTAGGAAAGATTTGGAGATGCCCGCTGAAAAAGTAGAGCTACAACACCTTAGGCGGTATTGTATGGGAGATTCTGATCAGAGCACAAAAGACCAAAAAGCCAGTAAAGACCAGGCACAGGAGGTTTCTGCTGGGAAGAAGGGCTGCACTGGCTGCTGAACTCCAGCCAATATGTGTTATACCTTGGCAGAAATGAATTTTGCTTGGGTCCAGAGACTTTGTCTGAGACTGAGATTAAGGTTGCAGACTAATTAATCTGGCAAAGAAAATCTCAAAGCTGTCTAATGTTGAGGCAGTGGCTTGGCTATTGTTGGAGGCTTTTAGTCAAATTTATGTTGAGAATAAAGAGCAAAGAGCCCAGAATCACTTAAAACATTTTTCAGTTTGTCTATAAAGGAATCTCCAGTAAAGCTATGGACTGCAAAAAAAGAGCAGAGGAAATGTTGATTGCTGAGAAGAACAGGACAATAGAAAAGATGGTCTCAGAGCATTACAAGAAACACCAGGACTCCACCTTTGCAGCCTCAAAATTGCAAAAGTGAAATACTTTGCTTTGAGAAGATAGCCCCAGAGCACCATGTTCCAGAATAGCAACAGCCTAGGGAACTTGTTCCTCAGGATTTGGTTCAGGCCACTCAACCTCTACAGCCAAGAGAGGAGGAAGCCTGCCTACTGATCCAGCTGGCAGCAGACCTTGACATTATCCATGTGATGCTGGTTTTAGGAGCATGCAGAATACAAGAGTTGTGGGGTCAGGAAGTCTTCCACCCAGATTTCAGAAGAAGGACTGGGAGGCCAGGCAGTATGCCCCTGAGGGCTGTGTGGAAAGCTATGAGTGTGAAACCAAAGGTGCAGTGGAGACCCCAGAAGTTTGCAGAATCCAGGAACATGGATCATCCAAGGAAAACTGAACAGTGAGGAAATCTGGCCCAAAAGAGAAGCCATGGGAGCTACCATCACCAAAAGTGCCTTAGGGGTGGAGCCACCCAAGCCCTTTGGAGTTCACAGCATGCTACAGATTGCCCAGGATGCTACAAGTGGAACTGTGGAATTTAATGTTTGCCCTGATGGTTTATTGGACTTGCTTTGTTCCCATTTCTTGCTATCACCCTGTTTGTAACTTTTGGAATGGAAATGTCTATCTTGTGCCACTGAATGTTGGAAGATTTTAACTTTCTTTTCATTTATATACAGGTTTTCAGCAAAGAATTTCCCTTAAACCTCAGAAGAGAATTTGGACTTGGACTTTTCAGCAATGCTGAAACTGTTAGGATTTGGATATGGTCTAAATACTTTTTTGCAAAAAGGAATATGCATGAGTCTTTTGAGGACCAAGGTCTGAACATTATGGCTTGTGTTTAGATGCCCCACCCACCCCGCTCCATGCCTCATGCTGTCTCAGCTAGGGCTTTTTCAGAGGGGACCAAATCCAGAGTATGTGACTGATTCATGGTGCAATGCTAGACCCTGGGGAACTAGGATTAAGGATGTGAGTGCTACCTGCCCTAAGTAGTCTGAATAAAATGAAGGGTCATGAAGATGCTGTCAAGGTTCTGTTGTTGCTTTTGCTGTCTTCTGCCACCATGAACAGCTGCCCCTCTCCCACCCTGCCTTGGAGCCTGCCAGTTATGGACTGAAACCTCTACACACTGTAAACCAAATAAACTTTTCCCCCCTTCACTGTGGGTGTTGGGTATTTTGTCACAGCAACAAGAGAAAAGTAACTAAGAAAACCATAAAGGAACATGAAGTTTCTGAGAAAATAATTCTTGGACCTGTAGAAGCCCAGGAAAATATTGAAGGAAGAATGGTGGAATAAGGGGGACTTTTCCTTCAATTTCCATAAGTTCAGATGGGTCTATGCTTCCCTGTCAATGAATTTGGGGGGAAACAGAACATTCTTCATGTATATTTTCTCATACCAGCAAAAATCTGTAGAAGGACTGAGAGAGCTGCAAGCTTCTGGTCAATAAAAAAATTAATGCCTATGACTGCATCCTTTATTGATAATTCAGGTACGCAGAGGCCAGATGGCATAAACAGCAAGGGCTCGGGTTCAGTTATGCAATGGTGGTGGGTTACAGGAAGCATCATGCAGGCTCCTAATACACCTAATTCTTCTTGTTCATGCAGTACAATATTTAATGGTTTGATATTGATGGAGAATCTGTACACAATGTTAAAAATCAAACTACTGTTATTTTCCTTGGGCTTTCTCTTCTGTGAAAAGTACAGATAATATAGCCCAAAGAAAGAGC